CTTACTATACATGTCAGGTGAATTTCATCCCAACTGATTTCAATGTGATGACTGGTGCTTTATCCACATAAAACATTAGTGGTCATAGAATCTGTAGTCAGAAGATAAATATTTTTTATAATGAAATTAAATCTCATTACCCAGAGGTACAACCACAAACGTTAAAAAAAAATCCTACCATAATAGCTAGAATAAAAGAAAATCAAAATTACAGTTAAGTACCACATTATGAATAATCAGCTAAATACACAAGCATCAGGAAGCAGCAATGGGCCCAATAGTATAATAATCTTCTTTGCTCTAGCCTGCAATGCTGAAGAAAACAACAGAAATACCTTACATTTTCTATTTTCCCTTCATTGTTACTCATCCTCATCAGAGGTGGACCTCTCCCCACCTTGTCTCTCTCTTTAAAAAGTATTTACATTATTTATTACTGTGACTACTTTTAAGTAAATCCATAAGGGTTCCATGAAAAAAATTATGAAGTAAATGCTATATTATATAGGGGTACTGGACATCACAATGAAGCCTATATCATGTGTTCCCATGATATCAGTGCCTCATAATTATCTCCTGTGTTTTTCTACATTTGTTTTGCGCATAATTTGTGAGACCAAGGGGGTTTTCCAAGACCACAGTCAACAGTAATACTTTATTAAGAATACCTCTCTAGAGCAAATGCATTAAGAAGTGTATTTTCAACTTGAATATGTGGCATTTTAGCCACAATACTAGCATTGGTGTTTAATGTCATCGTTAATTGAAGTTATATATATATGGCATTCCCAGAGTGGTTATCACTGTTCTATAATGCTTAAAGCCCTGTGCACAGAGGTGAGAAAATATCACAGAGACAGATTCTGCCCTCACCGCCATGCATCCTCCATTAAATCAAATCGAGCCACTGAACTCACAAAGGGTCGCATAGGCGTAACTAATGTCATAGGTCACAGGTAGCACAAGTGTAACTGAGGGCAGGATGTAGCCCCACTGACTCCAAAATGATACCGGCACATCTGGCAGCAGAATATGTCTCTCAATAGCACATACTTTGCCTCCATATCTTAAACAAACAACAAGATAAGGAGTATGTGTATTTTCAGACTTTGGTTGTTCTTCATCTCTGCCATGAACTGAGTGGTTTTGTGAAGTCACAATTGAAAACACAGTAATATTTAAGAACATAGAACAGATGTCAGGATTAAACTTGTGTTCTTTAAAAATATTATAATAATTTAACCTAAGATAGGGCCTAATCCAAAATCTAAGTCGAAAGATGCCCATCAATTTTAATAGGCTTTGGATCAGGTCCACAGTATCTGAAAGCAGCCATAGCTCAAAAGTTACATTTATAAGATGATGTTTGACATACTGATTTTGTAACATGTCATTGTTCATTTAATATAGTCTAAACTGCAAACTCCCTATTTATCTGTTTGTCTTTTACTTCACCTGCAGTGTCTGTGGGAATTTCTTACATTGTAGCAGCAAACTGAGATTGTATTTCACATTTGAAAGTAACCCATTTTAAATAATTCTGATAGTTGGTAATGTTAGTATACTTAACAATCTCCCAGAAACATATTTAAGACAGATTTTTAAACCATTGCAGAATTGCAAAATAACTTCAGAGTGTCATTACTCTTCTAAAAAGCAAATAGCAGTGGTAATTTATGCAGAGCAGTACAACTTTTCACATTTAATTCTGTGCACTTTGTTTTCTGTAGACTAGAAAAAATGAAATTATGTCATTTCCCACACAAGATGTTGCAAAGAGCAAAAGTGATTAATTACAGCCACCTGGAGGACATCTAGTTTGCAATTATGAGCATTGAAACAATGTCTTTAAAAACAATGCATGGTATATTTTTATAATATAATGCAAACCTGATTATCCAAAGATCTCTGGGGACATCAGAAAACTTTGGATAACTGAGGGTTTGGATAACTAGGGGAGGTGGCTGATCAGGCTTTGAAGTCTGGTTTCTAGAACCCCCAGCCATGGATAGAACCTGCTCCAATTTTAGGGATTTCCCACTGGCTTCCTTGAGGCCAGCCAGCAATTCAGGAGGAAGTTGTGCTCCCAGTTGCTCAGGCCTGCAGCACAATAAAGAGGAGGCAAGTGGATTGCCCAGGGTTGATTAGTGAACTCAGCTCAATGTAGAGGCATAGGCTGTTCCTCTCTTCAGACAGAGAGTGTAAGGGCCAAATACACCTTGGTCACAGGAGGCCTCACACACACAGTCAAACTAGCACTTTGAAGGAGCAAGGTGCAGAGTAACCACGGAGGGAAACTTAATATTTTCAGCAGGTAGGGTGACCAGATGTCCCAATTTTATAGGGACAGTCCCGATTTTTGGGTCTTTTTCTTATATAGGCTCCTATTACCCCTCACCCCCATCCCGATTTTTTACATTTGCTGTCTGGTCACCCTAGCAGCAGGCATACATAGTAGGGATTTGGGGCTATGGGACAAACCACATAGAGAGCTGTGTATGCTACTGTAGCCCCAAGTCTGCAGTAATGGCCATGCAGAAACTTCAGGGTGGTTCAGACCTTGTTGCCTGGTTGGAATGGGAAAATTCTGTCCTCCAATCACCTCCAAAGTCTTCCTGCACACAGCAGAATTTATTTGGGCTCTGCACAGGAACCAGGCTTTGCTCCATCAGAAGCACTTTCAGGAATAGGTGCCGATGGACCCGATCTCTGGCATGGAACCTGAAAAATTGATTTGGGGTGCAAAGCGTACCAGTCACAGATAGCAGGTTCTTTCTCTAGCAACTACATAAATTATTATTTAATAAATGAGATTGGTGAATCACATGAATAGAGTTTTTATTTAATAACCAAAGCACCCAAATCATTCATGCAACTGAACAAAAATCAGATGCCTAGAAACAGCCAGTCCCTAGTGTTGTCATAATCAAAATTCTGAAGACATAGGAAACAGATAAAAATAGATATAGTCAGTGGAGTACACCATAATCTGGAAGTGATGGTCCAGTTTATATCAGCTTCTCAGATGCTCACCAAAGATCAGATACATCCCTTCTTTATACCCCTTTCTTTCCTTGCATCTACACATGACTGGGACCATATTTGACAATGGTTCAGCCCCTACCCGTTTGTTATATTCTTGGAAACCTTGTTTGATATGCTGGCTATCCATAATTAACGTTCCGTGGTTGGCCTCACTGTTAGGTCAACCACTTGCCCACTACTTTTGATACATCAGTGCAGTCAGCTCCATGGATACATGTACCCCAAAATCCAGCAAAAAAGCTACTCTATAACTTGTTTTTCACTTGTGTGGCTAACTTGCTTGTCACAAGATACAAATCACGAAAAGTCCCCAAAACTGGTGACCCTAGGTGACTTCTTAATGCTAACTCCTGATTTAGTTATGCCAACTTTCTTACAGGCCTTGCTAGGTCTCACCTTTTTGCCAAGCCTGTATAAATTATAATTTATACTGTGTGTTCATCTACTTGCATTTCAAGCACTCTTATCCTTATTCTTACCTATTAAAAGCATTAAAACACATTCTAGCATTAAAATAAATTAGGTCAAAGCTTGGGCTTGAATGCCACATGTATCCCAGGCCATTGGTGGGTTTGGGGGGCCAAAACCCATTTTTGCTCTGCATAATGAAAAACTCCATTCACCTCCCTTCAGCAATAAGATTGGAAGGAGACTCCACAGGTGGGAATTCAGCAAGTTCCCTGCCTACTATGCTGGATAAACCTGCATAGGAGAAAATTTGGCCTCTTAAGTTTATGTTAATTAACATTGTGTTTCTTGTTAGCACAACATTATGACATAAATGAATGTTAACAACCAAGACATGTTCTCACAGCAACTGCACCTTGACCACTGCATAAAGCTGTTAATTTAACAGCATCTGATGCATACATGTAAGCAGGATGATTTTAGTTATTCTGAAATTTTTAATTTCTAGATCTTTTTGTTTTAGTTTCTAACTATGCTTTCCATTAGTGTTGTCTTTTGCATTGAACAGAACTTTAATTTACACTTTTTTGAATAAAAAAAAAAGATCAGCATCTCAAGGACTATAATACTGCAACGTAGACACATCAAAATAAGTATACCACCAAACTACCTTTTATGGAAATAAAACAGATATGAATAGTTCAGTAAACCATCTACTTCAACATTCCTAGAAAGCTCAAAGGTGCTGTATAGTAACTGTAGATAATCATATGTTGTTAGAATGAACAATTTGCCAGTGCCCACCTCACCAGTGTGAATGACAGTTGTCCAATAGCAAAGAAGATCAATGTATCAAAATTTATAAACCACATTCAGGTTAAAGGGCACTTTTCTTATCTTTTATTCTGTCCAAAGGACATGGGTTTTATTTTATAAAGATCATTAGTCATTGAAATATATATTTTAGAGAGTTTCTAGTAGGTAAGATTATTTTGGCAGTCACTGGAGTGTACCAGATGGTTCATTAGCATAGGCTAGACAAGTCAAAGGCTTTCAGAATCATTTAGAAAATGTCAAACAGAAACAAGAACCCTGTCACTTTTTATTAGAATTAACTACATCATACCCTGGACACAGATTTCACCTTGGGTCAGAAAAATTAATACAGAATTATATGAATTGTTTAATATACTGGGTTAAAGATAGGTCTTCCTCTGGGGACTCATTTGCTGGCAATATATTATGGTCATCTACTTCAGAAATCTTCAACCTTTCCTTTTGTAAGCTATGAAAAGAGTTGACCTTGCTCAAAATCCATTGGTGTCTAATTGATTTGAGGTATATGCAAAATTTCAACAAGACAGTCTGCTAGAGTTCTTTTGTGATCATTTTCCCAGGAAAGTTGGGGAATGGATTTACTGAATATTCAGCAGCATGTAAAGTATGCTTTTATCAAGAGAAAAAAAAACATCCTTTAAGTAAAACACTGCTTTAGTAAACAGGAATTCAAATGCAATTGAAATGTTACTTTCTTTTTCCCCCATCAGATGTCAAAAACCTTGAGAACTTCCAGCTTGTGGAAGGTGTTCAGGAACAAGTGAATGCTGCTCTGCTGGACTATACAATGTGCAACTATCCACAACAGACAGACAAATTTGGGCAACTTCTCCTGCGGCTACCAGAAATCCGGGCCATCAGTATGCAGGCCGAAGAATACCTCTACTACAAACACCTGAATGGGGATGTGCCATGTAATAACCTTCTCATTGAAATGCTGCACGCAAAGAGAGCATAAATTATACCCATTAGAGCTTCTGCTTTCAAGAAAAAAAAAAAAAATACTCTGAACTGCTCCAAGCAACGCTAATTAAAAACTTGGTTTTAAGACTTTGCAAAATGGTATAATAATCAAATACTTAATAGTAAATAAGTGATGTATCAGGGTATTTGTATTGCAAACTGTGAATCAAATGCTACACATCCCCAAAGGAATCTGTATAGGACTTTGTACTGGAATGAAACAAGCTTATAAGTGGATCTATCACCAATGTCAACATGAAAAAAACCGGAACAATTCTTGTATATTTAACTTTTCTGATCGCCACTATGAAGAAATTTAGGAACAAACTGATCTGTGTTATTAAGCTAATATAGTGGAGAAATTGAGTGCACTAAAATCCTTCATTGTACAGCAGGACTTCTAAAACAACTCTAAAGGATGCAAAACTGCACCACCACCATCTTCTATCATCCTTCCAAGGACCCAACACTTACTTTGCCTGTGATAAATGTTGTGGCACCTATTCAATCTGTAATAAAGGTCTGGAGTAGCCACATACTATATAGTAGCTCCACCAAATCATAAAAGCCTGGTTTTGAATGTCTGTGTCTCAGGCCTGCAAATAGATAATATGAAGAGTCTGTTAATAAGTTAGCTTGACATTCTTAATATGTTCTGAAGTTTGTTTTTTGTGTGTTCATGTAATTAAATCAGGCAGTATCCCTCTTCTACTAATATTACATGGGATGGCTATAAAACATCACAAATAGTTTCTCCAATGCAAATTTGCTAATTCAACCATGTTTCAATTACAGTATCAAAAACGTGGCTCTGGCATTGTCTAAGATTTTCATGCCAAATAAGCTTGCTGAAGTTTTTAAGTCTTTTAGCATCCTGTTTAAAGTTAGTTTCTTTTAAAAATAAATAAAATCTTCTCAGATTTCAAATGGTAACATTGCTAAATAATGCAAGTCAACATCTAAAGTGCATTTAGCTATGCAAAAAAACCACAACAATCAAAATGTATGAGCTGCTGAAGTCAAACTGCTTGCTAAGAAGTGATCTTTAAAATTATCAAGAAAAGACAAAAGTAAGTTTTAAACATAATTTAAATAAAACAATTTTTTTTTTAAAAAAAGAGTTAGGTAATTAAAATATTCTGCATGGGTAAAGAAGAGTGATACTGCCATGTCTCTGTAGACCAAAGTCTGCTGCAGAACAAATATTGGAGAAGGACAAATAATTACATCTCTATCCAAATGAAGATATCAGTATTATAACATGTAGTGCCACAGTTATGAAGTCTTGCCTTATTTCATTATCCTAAAAGGTAACTGGGCAAATGTGGATCAACATATGTTTAAAATAGAGTATTAATACTTTACATTAAAAAGAACCCTAGTGTTTACATTCTTTAGGTCCTGTGGGAAAAAAATCTGTGATAAGATTGCAAAGAAGTGATTCCCTTAGTGTTGCTTTCTGATTGGTAATTATTTTACCAGTACTGAATTACTGTATGTCGTGAGACACTAAAATCAAAAAGGGAATCTCATTTAAACTGTAATTTTTTGAGATTATCGGCTGCACAATCACTTGTAGAAACTGTATAAACTCCTAATCCCTTAATTTTTTTTCCATGAAGATTGCTGGCTTTTGAATAGTTTATTTATATTGTATATCATAGTTTCCACTGTAGACAATTATGATGCTAATTTATTGGTCCTTGGTTTCATCTTTATATAAGATATAGCCAGAATGAAGAAGCCAAATATATGTGTTTACTGTAGCATGTCTTCAAGTTAGTGGAACATAGTTCAGGGACATACAAGGGTCTTTACAAATTAAAATCATTCACTTGATTAAATGTCTGTAAATCTTCATAATCCTAAATGTAGTTTATTTAAATCTATTGTAAATTATGTGACTTGTAGCTTCTTCTGGTTTATGTGAATTTAACAAGGTGCATTCTTATCTTAAATTCTTTTCCAAACGTACATTGTATACCAAAGACATCAGTTATTTCTGCATTAGTATAAAACAGATTATTTTAATCATCTGTATTAGTCATCTCTAATACTCTGTCCATGTGTAGGGTACAAACCTAGCTAAGCCTAGCGTCAGCAGCACCTAGATGTCTGTCTCACATCATGGAATACCACTCATGCTGTTTTACAGATCAAATGTAATATGAAAACATTTCACCTGAGTATCATGTATAATCAATAGGGATGGAAGCATCACTTGAAAAAAACAAAACTAAATTTATAGAAAGTAAGATGTGAATGGCATTTGAGGGTGGTAGTGAAGTTGCTGTGGTCACATATGTACAACATGGGTATAATATTTCTTTTTTCTTTTTCAAGTGTTCATATTCTGTAAATTCTTGATTTGTTTTTATGGAAACACTACAGTGAACCTCACTGAATATTAAAGCTTAAAAAATAAACAAAAATGTGTTGCTAACTGTATACACAGCACCATTATCTATATACAGGACAAGAGTACTAATATAAGGATGTAAAAGACAAGCAACAATTTGCATACAATTTAATGGAAACAGTTTCAGATAAACTATAACATATATTAGCAGTATCTGTGGTTCCAAAAATCCCTCCAGATTGCCCAAAGTTTTCAAACAAAAATCTCCCTAAGTTAATTGTTAACCACTTTGTAACCAGACATTTACTTATGACTGCCTTATTGATTGCAGGACATATTAGTAAAAGCAGACTGAAATACAAAGGTTTTGGCTTTGCCTGGTTTATTATAGTTCTGTATTTGTAAGCGGACAATCTGTAATGTCTGAATATTTGTATTACAGATGTTCTGCAGCTGCCTTGGATTTGAATCCATGCAACTTTTAGAATGTGCAATTAGTTACTTGTTGAAGTTGAAGTTCTCTTACTGTATCAGTGAAATACCTATTGTCATGTCAGTTCTTGCCAGGAGTTATGCATCACCAATGGATTTTTTTCAGTATTTCAATAAATATTGATATGCCCATCCTGATTACTTTAAAATTGTTTTATGATAATCCCATTGCATTGGAAACTAAGTCCTAGTCAAATAAAAGTCAGTTACTCGAGCAGGAGTTAAAAAATACTGAAGATGAGGCCAAAGAAAATGTGATGCAGAAAGGAATAGAAATTTGCATGTATGCAACATTACATTCAGAACCTCAGATATCATGATGAACATGGTGTAGATGCATATGCTGAATGCAATACGCATGACTTGAAAGAGTGGATAAGATCAATCTTCTTTCAAAATAGCATATTTATAGATACATGGTTATATATGTATTTTTAAACAGCATTCTTAGTTTTCTAATAGCAGTTTGATATTCAATGTTACCTACAAAGATAAAAGAGAATCAACTAACAGCATTCAGGAGGACAGCAGAGCTCAAACTAACCTCTCAGCAATGTAAATACATGACAGGGTCAGGGGAAACTCCAGAGCTTCCAACACAACTGCCACAGGACTCTGCCAAAGAGACAGATGTTGCTGCTACTAAAAAAAGTATTTTGCCTGCCATTTCAAGAACATGAGGAATAGTGGTACACTATGATGTGTCAATAGAATCCTACTACTGAGATCAAACACACCTCGCCCCAATTCCTTTTCTAGCTTAAAGTGTTTGTTCTCTTAGGTCCTGATCAGTCTCCCACTGAAGCCAATGTTAAAACTTTAGCAGTGCAAAATTAGGTCTAGAATTAGTGGTGTACAAATATTTTGCTTAAAAGAAACACAAATTTTAAATTCACTAAAGATATACAAAAATTAAAGATAATATTGTGTGGCTTAGAGGTTGGAGGAATATGTTTTTATTTTGAAGGAGCATAGATTACAAGAAAATTTTGGATCAGCCCACACAGAAGATATGTCAAGTTTAGCAATTTAGCATCACCTAAGAAAAAACTTCCTAATAGCGATCGATTATGAGAGAGAGAGAGAGAGAGAGAGAGATGTATTTAGTATCCACAGTACACACAAACTAGGAGGGGATTTTAGCATTAACTAAGTTTGACATTGGTTCTGAAGCAAGCTGATGTATGTTTTTATTGCAAACATGCAAAGAGAGAGTTCAATGTAACTCAGGTCAACAAAGTTCAACACTTAGTGATCTTGACAATTTCCTGGCATGCTAAATAACAGTTTTCTTTAACCCTTCACTGGAAGCCTGTAGTTTAGTCTCTAACATAAGCTATATTAACAATATTTTCACTCTCACCAAGCATTTGCTGTGTGCAAGATTACACAATGAGCTACTACCTTTCATAGGAAAAGTTATTGTGTAGAAATTATCTGCTAATATCTAAGCTGTCAATATTTGTAGGTCCAAGAGTGTTAAAGTAACAATGATCATAGCGTGGTTCAGCCAAGTTACAGCAGCATTATTAAGTATTGAATATACACGGTATTAAGCCAGTCTTATAGAGGTACCCTAGTGATGCTGGAATGATTCAGGTCACCTGTGTGTCCTCTGCTATTTGCATATATGCTGAATAAAAAATATTTGTAACCCTTCTGCCAGGTGTTGCTGTGGACACCAAGGGCCAGGTCCAATATTGAGGGGTTACTTTTAACATTAAAAAACAGAACTAGCTTAAACCTCCACCCAGAAAGCTGGGAAAATTAAACACCACCCCTGGGTGCCTCTAAGGCCTGGTCTACACTACCCCCCCACTTCGGACTAAGGTACGCAAATTCAGCTACGTTAATAACGTAGCTGAATTCGAAGTACCTTAGTCCGAACTTACCGCAGGTCCAGACGCGGCAGGAAGGCTCCCCCGTCAATGCCGCGTACTCCTCTCGCCGAGCTGGAGTACCGGCGTCGACGGCGAGCACTTCCGGGATCGATTTATCGCGTCTAAACCAGACGCGATAAATCGATCCCAGAACATCGATTGCCTGCCACCGGACCCTCCGGTAAGTGTAGACGTACCTTAAGAGGCAATACTTCCCCACTCACAAGCATTGAGTCTGTGTATAACAAAAGGAAACTTATTAAGAGCAGGAGGAACTCAGGATTAATTTGGGAAACCACTGCACCACTTATTCAAAAGTATGCAAACCATAATTAAACACTCACCCTGCAGTATCATGGGAAATAGACCTTTGCCTCTGTTTCTCACATTGTGGTGTCAAAGTCTGATGGACAAATGTCCCTTTAACATGCTATGCCTCTTTCCCTCCACCACGCCCGCTCACAGTTGGTTGTCTGAGATCAGTGAAGTCCCAGAATTCAAGGATGTGCACGTAGGTTCACCTCCCACCCCTGAATGGGAGACGGAGGAGGATGGTTTGAGCAATGCCTCTGCTCATCCCTGTCACTGTGGTCTCTGCCACTGCTTGCCTTTGTCACTGCCATCTTTGCTGCTGCTCAGTGCCACCTCTGCTTCTAGCTGCCATGCTGTGTTCAGCAGTTCCACCACTTAGCCCAGTTCTTAGTGGTTTCAGCTCTTAGTGATGTCACTGGGTAGGTCTTTTCCCCCAGTTCCTCAATAGATGGCAGGGGAGAGCTCACTCAGACTCTGGCTTACATATTAGTTTAAGTATAGCAATTTGCCATTAATATAAAAGAGATGCGCTAACTGACACAGGCTTGGGACAACCAGGTCCTCATCCACTGGTGTAAACTGATGCAACTCCATTAATGTCAATGGAACTATGTCAGTTTACCCCAGCTGAGCACTGGTCCCAGGTTTACTAACAGAGCCAGCTGCAGAGTAACCATCAGCTTCAAGGGGACCTCCAGCTGTTACACTCTGGGTATAATGAAGAAGTCACAAAGTAAAACCAACAGGGTGGTAGGATGCAAGTGTAACCCACACACCTTCTGGATGTGGTGTTCTGTCCCATCTAGTGGCACTGAGACCACTTAAAAAGAGAGTTAAATGAGTCTGGTCTACAGCCCTAACGAACAGGCAGTTGTCTTTTAGCTCATGCAGTAGAGGCTCATGCCCTAAGCTCCAGAGGCGCCAAGTTCGATCCCGCCCGCCAGCTACTGGGGTCTGTCGGCATTATACAAGCTCTTTAATCAATCCTGTGGATCAATCTTGCTGTCACAGGCCAAAGCACCCATTTCATAGTGGCACGTTGAAATTAGTGGGAACTTTGCCCAAGTCAGAACAGCGAAGGGACGGCAGGATTTGTCTCCATAACACCGCATAAAACTGAAAGGGAACCAGTGGCATCAAATTAATTTTTTACAGGTTCTTTTAGAGTAGAGTTGCAGTGGCAGAAAAGGTTTACCACATTATCCTCTGTTTAGCAGCCATTGGCCATGTGAAACCCAAGTGCATACTCATAAACTGAGTGCTAAACTGTCAGCTTCACACTGTGTTTAGAAACAGCTGTCCTAAAGATGGAGTACTTTGTCTTCTTTCCAAAATGGATGCCCTCTCCTTTGATAACGGGTCTAATCTGTTAGTTATCAATAATTATATTTAACATGCTGCTAGCATTGAGACATTATGCATCAACATCTCCCTAGTGATATCAGTCAATATTCCTTTCCTATGGGAATACTCCACCCCTAGCA